TATAGTTTTTCTTAAATTTTGTTATATATTTTATATTATTATTATATATTTTATATATTTATTAGTTTATTTATATACTTTACAACATATTTTATTTATTTTAGTCACTTAAATGATAGTTTATTATTAATTTTATTAGGATAGTTTTCACAGAATTCTTTTTTTTTTTTTTTTTTTTTGGTTTTAAGGTGACCTCTTGGTCACGCTATGCTTTTATTGTTTTCAGACATTATTATACATATTTGAAGAGTACATTTAGTCATACCTGTGCCTTTTGAGCGCCTATTTAAGTAGTCTGCCTATTACTAGATTCTACACTATTTGCCGTATCTGCAACCCAACTAGGGGGTTACCCATTTAAACCCTCTGTGCTATGTACTCTGAAACCTATGACAACCGGTATCCTTTTCTCCAGTTCTAAGAACCAGTTTCACAGATACATCATTTCATATGCTGACTTAGGACTACTTTATCCTTAAGGTAAATCCAGTGTTTAAAATTGGCTTGTACATGCATGTACAATGCAAGTAAATATTTTAATATACAAAAAAAAATTTGAAAAAATAGGTTTGTGCATGTAAATTTTTTTAAATTTTCATAATAAACTTACTTTTGTTATACAAAATTGTTAATTTGTACAAGTAAATTTTTTTTTGAATTTTAAATACTAGGTAAACTTGACAAAGCCTGCAGTATTCCCACTTATACCACATCTAGCCTGCGCTTCAGTTTGGTATGCACAGACTGTGGCCCACCACTTGCGGCTCAGTTTGTCCTATTCTGGAAGTATGTAGTGCCGGGTCGAGATCATTGCCTACAGTTGATTCCCCAGCGTAAACTTTCTCCTGCTTCCTTTTTACGATTTAACCCCAGTTTTTGGCTAAACTCTGCTACCCAAACCTACTTCTGTCTTTGTAGAGTTCACTCAAACCCCAGAACTTACTTCACTGTATATCTCTAGTACTTTAGTAACCCGGTTTTCTTTACCCAAACTTCCAATCCAGATAGCTTGGTATGTGTTACTTATTTTCTTTCAAGTGATGGTGGCCTAGTTGGTATAGACATTTCCTTTTTCATCTAATAGCAGGGCTCTAATCTGGTTCTCAGACTTCCAATCTAGATAGCCCAGTAACTGTGTACTTTTCTTCTGCTTTAGACAGGTATTCCGAATCTTGGTGAACCTTTTACCTTGCCACTAAACCATATGCGTCGCAGCTCCTTCACCTCAGTTTCTAGGTCCTCTTTCCTATTGCAGCAGCCTGGTTGGTGTGGGCGCATCCCTAACACCCATATTCTGTCCAGTTCAGTTCTCTGGGTTCAGTTTCCTAGATCTAACCTTTACAATAGCTCTGTCGAAAATCTGTATTACCTCTCTACTCGAGACTTGCCAAGCGAGCTTCCATATTTGCAGTTTTCCAGATTTATATGACCTGGGGCTTATCTTGTGTTTGCATCACTCTAATATCAGTTTGCATCCCTTCATATAACATTATATCATACAAATACTTCAGATCTTCTAGCCTTGCTGTTACGACTATAGTTATAGGTATTCTATCCCAACTGGTCGAACAAATACAGTTAGCTATAACACAAGCAGAATTTTTGAATTTTCGTCACCAGTGAGATTCGAACTCTTGATCTGCTGCTTGGGTGACAACTTGACTATTTCGCTATGTCGCCATATCTCTTTTTTCACAGAATTCTATTTTTAGCAATATAGTTATTTATTTTATAACTTTATATTATTATATTTATTTTTTTTTTTATTTTATATTTGAGACTTTTTTTATTTGGGCCTAGTATAATAGGAGACTAGAACTGTATAGAGTGATGGTTGGAGCTCTATTTAACTTTTTATCTTATAATTTTTTTTTTATTTTATCAAAGAGCAAGAAAATTTTTATAAATATTGTAGAGTAGAAAAAATAATAGTAGAGATATAAAATTTAATTAAATCTTGATACTATTTAAATATTATATTTAGAAAATATGAGCTCTATAGACAGCTTCACCATTCGAATTAGAATAAAGTTGGATGTGAAAGTCGATAAAAATTTAAAACCAAATACTTTATTAAACAATTGTTTGTTTACAAAATTTCTAGAAAATTTATTATCAAGCAAAAAAAATTTAATTATAAAATATTAAACAATTGTACTATCTGATCCTTCCTCTGCATCAACAAATATTTCTTCTGCTACCTTTTCTGATTCTTCCCTTCTTCTGCTTTCAACTTGTACTCTTTTTTCTCTTTCTTAACGATGCTCCTCCTTTGCATTTTCTAGTCTTGCTCGAAGTCTATTTCTTTCTACAACTAAATGAACATATTGTTCTTCTTGTTGCCAGTTTTCTGCAACAGAGTTAACAATAATTTTGTGTTGATTATTAATAGTTCTATTAAGCCCATTAATTTAGTTATTCAGTTCTCGAATTTGTCTTTTTAATTCTTAAATTTCTCTTGCTAGTCTAGTATAATATATTACATTATATTATTATTAATATCATTATTTTTATTATTATTGGTATTAATATTATTTTTATATTATTATTATTATTATTATTACCTTCTATTTGTTGCTTGGCTAAAATCCAAAGCCTCATAAAGAGCTTGAATACTATTTCCTCTTTGAGCTCTGGTACGTCGACGTAAAGTGAAATAACGTATTTTCAACAGAATTATTATTACTAAAAATATGTTAAAAGAATTTTTTTTGTCGAAACAAAGATTATACAGTATAATATATACTCCTTAAATATAACAAATCTTAATTTGGATCACATGAAAAATCTTAATCTTATTGAATACTTTAATTAAAAAATTGATCTTCAAAAACTGTACGACAAAAAATTTTGTAATTATACCTACTATAGTAAAGTGGTGAAGGCATATAGCTATTGTAAGGTTGTGCGTTCGAATCCAGCTAGTGGACTTGTTAACTCTGCCAACCTAGGGGTCATGATAATGCACTAGCACTATAGTAATTCTTTTTATAATTTTGAAAAGAGAAAATTTTTATAATAATTTAAAAAGGGATTTATTTTATAGTGCTATAGCATTATAGTGCTATAGCACTATAGTGCTATAGTATTATATATAATTTTATTATATTTTTATAAAGTATTACCAAAAGGAATTCCTGGTACATGATCTGCATATCGACCAATAACATTGTAATTACAACCCTATAAAAAATCCCGCAATTAGAAAATATGTACCAGGCTGGTGAAGCAGACAAAACTTTTAAAATTCATTAAGGCTATGGTTAAGGTTAGGGTTACAAGCTAGAGAAGTAGTTTTAGGAGTAAAATTGTCTAAAGAAAACATTTTGTTAGAGCACAAAGCACGGTTTCTTATTGAGTTATAAATGATTTCTGGCAGTACGAATGTTTGAATCTTCTTGGTCATGTGATATTACACATAATCTTGAAATCTGATTCATAGATCAGAAGAACTACGTCACCAACCTGGTAACATTTTTTGATTGCAACATAAACTCCTGTTCGGAAATCGACCCATTCTGAACAATTTACAACAATGTTAAAACAAGCATTTTTTATAGAGCTGTATACTGTAAAATATTTATTGATAAACCACATTGCATGTACTTACATAGTAATTTTAATTCTAACTAACACCTAATTTTACTATATTTTTTACCCTAACCAAACCACGAACTCTAACTATAACCCTAACCCTAATTAACTATTTTCATATCACATCGAAGAAACCCACCATTTGCCTATCATCTAGAAAACCTACTGCCAATTCAAAAATATAGCAAAAATGTCAGAAACGATGCCGATTAGCAACTGAAATGCCAGTGAAGCGAAAACGAACCAACAAAAAATAGCACCAGTATACGACGATATCAACATCAGGTTACTATATCCACAAATGATGAAATAACGACGAATCATCAACACAATATTAACACTATGAAAAAAGAGACTGGTTAGTAAAATAAAGTAATATAGGCAACAAAAAAAAAAAAGATACTTATCTAAACAATCCAGCAACGCGATGCAACACTAACGAGTCCTAGCAAAAGTGCAAATTGAGCACCAGTAAAAGTGAAATTCCAGAAAAAGAGCAAAGCAAAACACCAAAAAAGCAAATCAAAGCACGAAAAGAGCAAAGCAAAGCACGAAAAGAGCAAAGCAAAGCACCAAAAAGCAAAGTATCAGAAAGGCAGGGCAGTAGCAAATCGGAGCACTAGCAAAATGAAGTTCTAGCAAAAAAGCAAACACCAGAAAAGTAAAGCACCAGCACCAGTAAAAGAGAAGTTTCAGCAAAGAAAAAAGCAAAGCAAGCACCACTTAATATCACCAGCGAAATGATGACACAAAAAAATTGAAAGTATTCAGGTTAGTAAAATGAACTAATATAGGTAAAAAAAAAAAAAAAAAAAAAAAACGATACTTATCTAGACAACCCAGCAACACCAGCGAGTTCTAGCAAAAGAGCACAAGCAAGCACCAAAAGGTGAAACAGCAGTAAATCGAGCCCCAGTAAAAGCGAAGTCCCAGCAAAAGAGCAAAGCAAAGCACCAAAAAAGTAAAATATCAGAAAGGCAAGGCAGCAGCAAGCGAAGCACCAGTAAAGTGAAGTCCTAGCAAAAGAGCAAAGCAAAGCACCAAAAAAGTAAAATATCAGAAAAGCAAGGCAGCAGCAAGCAATGCACCAAAAAGCAAAGTCCTAGCAAAAGAGCAAATACTAGAAACCAGTACCAGTAAAAGCGAAGTTCTAGCAAAGCACCAAAAAAGCAAAGCATCATTTAATATCACCAGTGAAAACGATAATACAAGAGAATTGAAAGCATTAACAAACAACGACGCGTCACTTGCAGAATGAACATAAACGTCACGATACTGGCTAAATTGAACATAATAAACAATATCAATTACAACAAATTACGGCACCTACGATGCAGACTAGCAAGAACGAAATGACGATAATTACGACACCAACGACGAGGCAACACTATAAAGAAGAAAAAAGAAAATGCTTAGTAAAAAAAAAATGCAAAATCAATATAAAAAAATACTTATGCATGGTCAATCTATGTAACCAGGATTTTCTCTTGGTTAAATTTTATTTTTATATTATAAAAGATAGCACCATAGTGCTATAGCACTAAAATGCTACGTATAGTACTATAACAATATTCCCATATTAATTTATTAAACTATTTTATTATTATATCATATGAGATAAGGGTCGCATCACAGTGCTATAGCACTATAATGCTATAGCGCTATAACAATATTCCTATTTAAAAATATCAAAAATTTAAACTACAATGATATTGGTGAATTAAATTTAAAAATTTTGATCAGTTAGTTTAAAAATATTTATTATTTATTTATTAGTATAGTTATTATTTTATTTATTAAATCATGTATTATTTTATTTGTAACTTTTTGTATGGGTCTAGTATAATATAATGTCTAGGACAGTTTAGAGCGATAGTTGAAGCTTTATTCATTTTTCAATATTCACTTTTTATTTCTTATTTTTTTATTCACTTTTCGCTTTTTACTTTCTATATTTTCTTATTTATGAGAATTGATGATAAAAGAGAATACAATATAGCTACAATTTACCAGAAACAAGAGGAATCTTACAAGTCATAACAATTAAAAGAAACAATACTTGAAGTTTAACTTCGAATATTATAATTTATATTTAGGGAATATGAGCCCTATAGACAACTCTGCCATTCAAATCTGGATAATGTTAAATATGAAAAATTTATATTTAAGGAATATGAGCCTTACTGGCAACTTCGCAATCCAAATTTGAATAAAGTTGAATATAAATTGAACAATACTTTTTACATTTAGAGAATATTAGCCCTATTGACAACCTCACCATTCAAATTGAATAAAGTTGAATGTAAAATGATTAGAAAATTAAAATTTATTTACAAAAAAATTATTATACACCTGGAACTAAAATATTATTAATTAAATCACGTAAATTCTCTATCTCAGCCCTTAAATTATTCTTTTCAGCTACCAACTCAGCATAATCTCTATTCCTCTGCCAATTCTCTCGATTAATCTTTTCAATTTGCAAGTCTCTATTCTCTACTTCTCCCACCAACTGAACTACTTCTCTTGCTATAAAAACCTCATTCGCTCTTAATGCCACCACTTGTCTTCTCAACGAACTAACTTCACACTGCAGCCTAAATAATTAATAATATTATTATTTATTATTATTATTATCCTATTATTATATTATTATTATATTGTTATTTTTATCTTTGAATTTCATTCTGAAGCTTACTGATAGCTTCATACAAAGCATTTTCACTATCTCTTTTTCGGTTACTTCTTCATTGACGGCAGGTAGAATGATAAGAGTATAGCATTGTTATTCTATTATTATTGTTATTTTATTAGTATATTTTATATTTTGTTAGTTAAATATTATTATCATTCTTACCTTTTGGAATTCTTTGGTAAGATTATTTTTGTTAAAGTTTATTGTTACCTCTATATTACACAAATTTATATCTCTAACAACTCTGATAATTATTAGCCAAATATGGTAATTTTAATAATCAAAAATAGAACAATTTTAAATTTTTGCATATTACTGATTGTAGAAGAGTGGTAATAATTTGCGACTGCAGCCAGCAGCCATAAGTTCAATACCTGCTAATGGACTATCAACTCTGCCACAGGTCTATGATGATGGTATTTGCACTATAATAGTTTTTTTATAATTTTTATTTTACAATTTTACGAAGCAAAATTTTCTAATGAGGGAGTAGTATAATATAGTGAAATTTTATTAATATATTTTATATTTTATTAGTTAAATATTATTAGCACATTTTAAATTTTTATTAGTTAATTTTTATTAGTCGAATTTTATTAGTTATTTT